GCTAAAATTGTCCCTGATTGAGAACCATTATAATACAAAGACAAAGGGTCATGATAAAATCTTAACTCCACCATGTAAAACTGTGTGCCATTGGGTAAGTTGCTTAACTTCTCTGAGCCTTAGATTCCTCTTCTGTAAGATGAGGATATAATATTTACCTTGTATGACTGTTGAGAGATTTAGAAATGCTTTATATGTAACATACTTAATATGAAGCCAGATCCTAAGAGGGAATCAAAAAATGCACGCATATGTAAAGCTATAATTTATAATAAATATATCTGGTCAGCCAAATGTCTATTGTAAATCTATGTTGGCAATTAAGTGATATGCCTGTGATCATCGTTTTCAGATCTTTAAACATAGTGAGCAGAAGTGATGCTCAAAGCAGACACAACTTCCTTGGTGGTAGTGTTTCCCTTTATAAAGTAATACTACCTTCACCACTCTTTCAATACCAAGGCATATGGCCGAAGGGGACCAAAATGAGTTGAAAACTCATTGATTTCACTTATGCATATATTATTCAATTTGTAAATTTGGTATCATGCTATGATGTATTTGTGGCAACTGACATGATCAGCATACATCAGAAATCTCCCTACCTTGGATTAAACATTACTTTTTAGAAACTAGAAAGCATGTTCTCTTTTCAGCTTATCAAGTAAGCATAAATGTCTATTCTAGTCACGACACTGAAACCCTGCTTTCCCTTACTCATGACTCACAACCTCTTAGATATACGGATATTAAAAATGGTAGAGATTTTTTGAAAATCTGCTGCAACCAATTTATGCTCACTAACTCTTACCAAAAATTAGGCCACACAACAAAGTGTTTTAGAAGGAAAGTATTCACTTTCCAGATGGCCAGTAGCTTCCCAGAGGATGGCTTTCTACTCACCCACCCACCACCCTCTCCACACCCTCTTAACCTTTCTTCTTCAGGACGTTTCTTTATCCAGCTGTTATCCTGTAAGAAAGTCCTTTTTTTGTGCACCTCGTGAAAGCCTTGTTGCTTCAGCGTGGTCCCCTGAGTGGAACTCTTCATATCTGTCAACAGAAAAAATGAAAAATTGGGAGATGTAATCAACAAGGAGTTGAGAGTGGGTTGTTAACCTGGATATCTTGAGAGGCACATCTGAGTGGCCAGCGTCAGTCTTCTAGGCTGGCAAGTCCTGTACTATGTCAAAGTAGGATGTGTCAGCAAGCAAGAACAAACCCCACACCCCATCATTAAAGATAACAGATCGAACTGCTCAGCTGCCAAGTGAAACTGCCAATGCAGTGCCTGAACCCCTGTGTGGCACCCGGGAGTGTAGATCCACAGGCCTGGCATAGACTAAGCCAGGGCTAGTGGGTTGACCATTTTATTCAAAAAGAAATATGCCTCAAAAAAACAAAAGAGAAAAAGAAACATACCTCAGAAATACACACAAGGTTGTTTTAAAAGTATCTGGTAAATAATAGTCAAAGAGCCCTGTTGCTTTTGATTATAAGTCACTTAATACTTTGATCTCACAGGATCCAGAGCATAGGTCACACATAAAAAAAGGACATTTTTATTTAAAAAAAAAATCTTTGAATCACAATTAGATGAATAAAAGCTGTAGCACTCTTACTTTTTGTAAACCTAATTTTAACAATGCTAATTAAATTAGACTGTTGCTTCTAAGTATTCGATATCTATGCAAAAGAATCAGGACCTGTGAGTTATTTCCTCTGAATTTTTAAGTATTCTGAGCAAGGGAAACATTACCTACATTACCATTTCCTTTGGGAGACACTTTTCTTAAGAAAAAATTGGACATGCTGCCTTCCAGGAAGAGTCTGAAAGAAAAATGGGGAAAAGGGAAAACTCGACCACGACTCGAAGAATTTACCAGTGACTCTTTCATTGCTAATGAGACACATTTCTCAATAACACCAACAGTCATGTGATCTAATATAATGAACACGTGACATAAAATGACCACTACAAGCCTAAGTTCATCTATCCCAGTGTGTTTATTTTACAGATGAAGAAACTGAGGCCAAGAGCATTTAGTGTCCCCTATGTTATGTTATAAGCAACTGGCTGAATCAGACTATCAATTACTTCATTTATTTAATCAATAAATATGCCCTGAGTGCCTCTGGTGTGCCTGACACTGAGTGAGGAGCTGGGGGTGAAGAGATGAGTGAGGCAAGTGTCCGCTCAGGTCAACAGGGACACAGACATGGAATCCACAGTACGCACAGTATACGGAAAAGGGTCATCAGCATCTCCTCTCTGGGGAAGCCAAGTGAACCCAGGCAACTGATGTATGATTGGAACAGAAGTAGCGAGAGGCATGCACATCAAAGATCTGGGGAAACACAGGTGATTTTAGGCAACCACTGCATGGGAAAGCCCAAAGTTTCTTAGCCATGACCAACCACTGTTGCTAAGCTGCTAAAGGGTTAAGGCGGCCCTGAGTCCCAGTTTCCTGGGGACTGATGGTGTTTCCAGAGCTGCATTATGATTGAGATCGAGGCACTTCTGCTTTTGTGAGCCTCTTCCTTCACACACACAGTCACACACACACACACACACACACACACACACAGTTCAAGGTATATTTTATGACTATTTTAGATAGAGATGAATAAAAAATGAAGGCCAGCTTCATTATCATATATTCATTGTTATTATTATATTCATTTTTTTTCTTCTGTTGTTAAAAGGAATTAAAATTAGGACCCTTTAGTGGGCCCCTAAATGTGTCATGTGCCCTAGGCAGCCTTTGCTGCTGAATGGACAAGTTGGCCCTGGGTTTCCATGAACGTGGCGTTTTCAGTTCTAAAACTGGAAAAGTCCTGAGCAAAGAGCAATGGTTGCTAACCTTAGGTACAGCAGTGTATTTTTTTGTAGAATCCACCCAACGTGTGGGATATTAGAGGGGCGTTAGTTCTCAAGTCAGAAGTAAGTCCTAGAACCAGCTTTAATTTATCAAGTCAAAGTTCTGTAATTGAACTACTTAATCTGCCTATAAAATGCCTATAAAACCTGCAATCTACCACAGAAGGTTGTGAAGATCAAATGTATAACATACATAAAAACCCCTTTGTTAAACGATAAATGCTATTCTGACCTAAGGCAGTGTTACTGGACAGCTGTTTATAGGTCTAACCTGAGGGTCCTAAAGGCCCCCATTTCCTACCATCTGATACAAAAGCAATCTCCTACAGTAATCTGCCTGAATAGAAACATTCCTTTGTGCTAGGCATGTTTTCCCAGGGGTCTTATTTTAAAATGCCAGTATCTCTAGAATAGGTGAGAAGTGGAAGCTGGTCCCCTTTATGTGTTTGGTGCTTGGCTCTACGGGCTCCCCCACTGCAGAGCTGCCCTTAGCTGCTGGGGCTGCCTGGTTACAGCCTCTCATCCTCTCCAACCTGCGGCCAGTGACGGACAACCTGTATAAAGAGGTGTCTCCTGCCTCAGAGTAGAACCAATTCTTCAGTCGATTCATGCTTTGGACCTCTCCTCAGGTCAGGTGAAGCTAGACTAGCAGAGGGCACAGCCTTCCTGCTTCCCTTTCTCCTTTCTCCTGAGAGTGTATCCTCAGTAAGTCACAGGTGCCCAAATCCCTCTCCAGCATTGCTTCTAGGGACCCCAGCCTAAGACTACCAACCAGAGGAATCAATTGTGACATTGTCTTCACAGAGACCAGGAGCTGTTTACTCTGCTAATAGCCGAGAGACTGAGGGTCTTAGTGAAGTTAGATCTGCATTTGAGACTTACAATTCTTTGTTACTGAAGATAAAAGCTCAATGTGCTGTGTTAGCCAAAATGCTATTCACTGACAGAAAGGGGTCAGTAAACCAGTATAGTTTAAAATTTAGAATAAGCACAGAAGGCATTAAACTCCTGTTATCCTAAAAACAGTAAGAATATGAAGCTTAGTTTTCACTGCCATGCTCCAAAACCAGTACATTCATTCTTTAATAGTTCCAGAGAAAGGCAAATAAAATGGAGGGAACAATTTCCACTGGTGGCTTGACTCAACTAATCAGTCTCCCTATGTTTGGTGCAATGAGGAGCTACAACCAACAAGGCTATAATCTTTGAAATCGTGAAGACCACGGAGAGAGACAGGTAGAGTCACTGAATAGTCAATCAGATGAACTAAGGTTGGAAACCAGAAAAAAAAAAAAAAAACAGATACTTTGTGGAGAGGACTGTGAGCTCCGTACTCTTAGAATAGTTCAAAATTATGAACACGGTTAAAAGGATTTAGAAAAATCACAAGTAAAAGCTTCCAAAATAGACATATAAAAGGTGTGTGCTTAACTTTGTAAAGTCCACACCATGAACGACAATCACAATCCCCTGTTAAGTACCTTTTGGCGACAAACAGACAAAGGCTACTTGACCACAAAAGATCTGTGTCTGACAAACAATTATGTTCTTCTGATGGGTGTGAGTGTGAATGTTTTAATAAGCATATTATCTACTTATTTGATCTTAGATTATTTACAACACTGCGATCACTAGTTTTGTCTGAATTTTCCTACTAATTTGCCTTTGCCAGTCTGTTTTCCATTGAGTACCATGCAGTGGTGTCTGTAAGCCTAGGAGTTCCTAAAAAGAAGTGTACTGTTGCAGAAAGTGTGTGAACTCCAGAGCTGTGATTTCTGTATTTTAGGCTTACTCTCCCAAAGGTTCATGGATACCTTATCTGGTCACATTTCTGGAGTTGCTCTTTTCGTTTCTCATAAGGAGGGCCACGTCAGTGGCGCAGGCAGAGGACTGGTTTTTCTACACTGCCTAGCTGTAGTTCTGGAAACATGGAACTAGAGAAGCACAGGGTTCACCCTACAGAAGTCCCAGATGATATCATAGAATCTCCTTCACGTGCCCAGAATGTCAGGGAAAGCCTGAGGCTAGCCACAAATATTCAGTCTGTTTTGAACAAGTCTTCTCTCAAAATTACTGCCTTTGTGTTTCTGCTAATGATGTAACTGGCCTGAAACACCCACCTGTCCAAGGCATCATGGGAGTTATGTCGGTTGAGCACCACCCTCCCATAATTTTCATCTCTACAGAGAAAGAAAACTAAGTCACATGAAAAGCTTCCACAGTATTTTGTAAACACTAAATTAGGGAGAGAGGAGAAAGAGCTCACAATTTTTGGCAAGGTTCATTCATCTTTCTTCAAACATGAGAATACAACTGTGTATTTATTTTAATGAGTCACCACTTGAAAGAGCATGTTGAAAAGAAAAAAGTTTGTGGGTACCAGTCCAAATGATCATTCATCTATCCTGTGGGATGTCCATGTAATTCAATAATGGAAGGGGTGTTTATTGTTTTTTTTATCAGTGTTGAAACACACAACCATCTACATTATGTATATCGTAAAACTCTTTTTCTTCAGGCAGGCAAAAACTTTCTATATACATGCTTTAAGGTTAACTAAACCCATTAAATCTGGACATTTTTATTTGATGGATTTGATGAGTTTCCTTGATAAAATTAGGAAAATAAGTACCAATATTTGTAGTTGGGGAGATTGATTCTTCATAGGCAGTTCAGCCCAATTTTGAAGGATGAGAGTGTAATTTGCTCTGTTTGGTCCCTAAAATAACCTTATTTTGGTTCCTTAATGCATAAGGTAAGGAAGGCCCTGCCTTACCCTAGTCACAGGTGAGGAGATTGGGTAGGGGCTTGGTGGCTTTCCTAAGGCAAAACAGTTAGTAGGTAACAGAGGTGGTTCTAATACCCAGGCCTTTTTATTCCAAACTTGTGCTTTTCCTACTGGTCAACTCTGCAATAGACTTTCATACATAAAATCCCAAAGTCTTTCTAACTTTGTACAGCAGACCTGAAGGTACAGGCAATTTTAGGAAATGTCAGAACATGTAGTAGAGCCTTTGGCCTTGAGCCAAGGCAGAGAGTAAGTACGTGAATCTCTTTCATGTCAACCCAACCAAACCTGAAATATCACATTGCTCCTGGTTCTGTTCCACAAACGTTACTCAATACTCTGGAACCATTTATAATAAAGCTATAAAAGAATTGTAGTAGACAATTTAAAGAAAAATGAACAGTGAAACTGAAACAGTTCTGGCAAATAAAAACCCTCAAAAATCCCAAGAGAACTTTCCCTCCCTCTTGGTATCCCGTCCCTAAACTTGGGAGAGAGTAGCTGACACCAGATGCATTCTTCCTGAAGAAGAATCATAACACATAGCTCAGAAGAGGGCCAGCAGGAGCGGAAAAGGATCAGAGCCAATTTCTCCTTCATTCAACAGCTGCCATACCATCCATGCTGGCTTCCCTAAGCCTTTTTAAGGAGACATTCCTGGCCTAAAATCATCATTCCCACCAACTACAATTTGTCTTAGACATCTCTGTCTTCGCCCATCTGTGCAAATATTTGCAACCCAAAATTTATGATCTACATTTTATATCACTCTACCACTATGGAAAAAATAGAAATGCCATATTAGGCTCTGACAAAAGCAGTAAATGTTACACCATAGAAGGAAATGATCATTTTGTTAACTCCAAAAATTAGTGTGTCTCAATACTTTTCTGTTCCCTTAAAATAATAAATTTAATAACAGAAATTAATAGATATTCTGATATAATTGCCACAAGTGTGCTTCTCAAATAGCCCAATATGGACAGGTTAATGAAGTTTAAAGTATCTTGTAATGCATGGCTTCTCAACCTCAGTGCTATTGACATTATGGATTTGATACATTTTTGTTGTGGGGAGCATCTTGCACACTGTTGGATGTTTCGCAGCATGTCAGAAGTACCAAAAATGTCCTCTGACCTTGCCAAATGTCCCCTGGGGCTAAAATTGTCCCTGATTGAGAACCATTATAATACAAAGACAAAGGGTCATGATAAAATCTTAACTCCACCCTGTAAAACTGTGTGCCATTGGGTAAGTTGCTTAACTTCTCTGAGCCTTAGATTCCTCTTCTGTAAGATGAGGATATAATATTTACCTTGTATGACTGTTGAGAGATTTAGAAATGCTTTATATGTAACATACTTAATATGAAGCCAGATTCTAAGAGGGAATCAAAAAATGCACGCATATGTAAAGTTATAATTTATAATAAATATATCTGGTCAGCCAAATGTCTATTGTAAAGCTATGTTGGCAATTAAGTGATATGCCTGTGATCATCGTTTTCAGATCTTTAAACATAGTGAGCAGAAGTGATGCTCAAAGCAGACACAACTTCCTTGGTGGTAATGTTTCCCTTTATAAAGTAATACTACCTTCACCACTCTTTCAATACCAAGGTATATGGCCGAAGGGGACCAAAATGAGTTGAAAACTCATTGATTTCACTTATGCATATATTATTCAATTTGTAAATTTGGTATCATGCTATGATGTATTTGTGGCAACTGACATGATCAGCATACATCAGAAATCTCCCTACCTTGGATTAAACATTACTTTTTAGAAACTAGAAAGCATGTTCTCTTTTCAGCTTATCAAGTAAGCATAAATGTCTATTCTAGTCACAACACTGAAACCCTGCTTTCCCTTACTCATGACTCACAACCTCTTAGATATACGGATATTAAAAATGGTAGAGATTTTTTGAAAATCTGCTGCAACCAATTTATGCTCACTAACTCTTACCAAAAATTAGACCACACAACAAAGTGTTTTAGAAGGAAAGTATTCACTTTCCAGATGGCCAGTAGCTTCCCAGAGGATGGCTTTCTACTCACCCACCCACCACCCTCTCCACACCCTCTTAACCTTTCTTCTTCAGGACGTTTCTTTATCCAGCTGTTATCCTGTAAGAAAGTCTTTTTTTTGTGCACCTCGTGAAAGCCTTGTTGCTTCAGCGTGGTCCCCTGAGTGGAACTCTTCATATCTGTCAACAGAAAAAATGAAAAATTGGGAGATGTAATCAACAAGGAGTTGAGAGTGGGTTGTTAACCTGGATATCTTGAGAGGCACATCTGAGTGGCCAGCGTCAGTCTTCTAGGCTGGCAAGTCCTGTACTATGTCAAAGTAGGATGTGTCAGCAAGCAAGAACAAACCCCACACCCCATCATTAAAGATAACAGATCGAACTGCTCAGCTGCCAAGTGAAACTGCCAATGCAGTGCCTGAACCCCTGTGTGGCACCCGGGAGTGTAGATCCACAGGCCTGGCATAGACTAAGCCAGGGCTAGTGGGTTGACCATTTTATTCAAAAAGAAATATGCCTCAAAAAAACAAAAGAGAAAAAGAAACATACCTCAGAAATACACACAAGGTTGTTTTAAAAGTATCTGGTAAATAATAGTCAAAGAGCCCTGTTGCTTTTGATTATAAATCACTTAATACTTTGATCTCACAGGATCCAGAGCATAGGTCACACATAAAAAAAGGACATTTTTATTTAAAAAAAAAATCTTTGAATCACAATTAGATGAATAAAAGCTGTAGCACTCTTACTTTTTGTAAACCTAATTTTAACAATGCTAATTAAATTAGACTGTTGCTTCTAAGTATTCGATATCTATGCAAAAGAATCAGGACCTGTGAGTTATTTCCTCTGAATTTTTAAGTATTCTGAGCAAGGGAAACATTACCTACATTACCATTTCCTTTGGGAGACACTTTTCTTAAGAAAAAATTGGACATGCTGCCTTCCAGGAAGAGTCTGAAAGAAAAATGGGGATAAGGGAAAACTCGACCACGACTCGAAGAATTTACCAGTGACTCTTTCATTGCTAATGAGACACATTTCTCAATAACACCAACAGTCATGTGATCTAATTTAATGAACACGTGACATAAAATGACCACTACAAGCCTAAGTTCATCTATCCCAGGGTGTTTATTTTACACATGAAGAAACTGAGGCCAAGAGCATTTAGTGTCCCCTAAATGCTGAATCAGACTGGCTGAATCAGACTATCAATTACTTCATTTATTTAATCGATAAATATGCCCTGAGTGCCTCTGGTGTGCCTGACACTGAGTGAGGAGCTGGGGGTGAAGAGATGAGTGAGGCAAGTGTCTGCTCAGGTCAACAGGGACACAGACATGGAATCCACAGCGCAGTACGCACAGTATACGGAAAAGGGTCATCAGCATCTCCTCTCTGGGGAAGCCAAGTGAACCCAGGCAACTGATGTATGATTGGAACGGAAGTGGCGAGAGGCATGCACATCAAAGATCTGGGGAAACACAGGTGATTTTAGGCAACCACTGCATGGGAAAACCCAAAGTTTCTTAGCCATGACCAACCACTGTTGCTAAGCTGCTAAAGGGTTAAGGCGGCTCTGAGTCCCAGTTTCCTGGGGACTGATGGTGTTTCCAGAGCTGCATTATGATTGAGTCCAAGGCACTTCTGCTTTTGTGAGCCTCTTCCTTCACACACACAGTCACACACACACACACACACACACAGTTCAAAGGTATATTTTATGACTATTTAGATAGAGATGAATAAAAAATGAAGGCCAGCTTCATTATCATATATTCATTGTTATTATTATATTCATTTTTTTTCTTCTGTTGTTAAAAGGAATTAAAATTAGGACCCTTTAGTGGGCCCCTAAATGTGTCATGTGCCCTAGGCAGCCTTTGCTGCTGAATGGACAAGTTGGCCCTGGGTTTCCATGAACGTGGCGTTTTCAGTTCTAAAACTGGAAAAGTCCTGAGCGAAGAGCAATGGTTGCTAACCTTAGGTACAGCAGTGTATTTTTTTGTAGAATCCACCCAACGTGTGGGATATTAGAGGGGCGTTAGTTCTCAAGTCAGAAGTAAGTCCTAGAACCAGCTTTAATTTATCAAGTCAAAGTTCTGTAATTGAACTACTTAATCTGCTTATAAAATGGGCTAATGAAACCTGCAATCTACCACAGAAGGTTGTGAAGATCAAATGTATAACATACATAAAAACTGCTTTGTTAAACGATAAATGCTATTCTGACCTAAGGCAGTGTTACTGGACAGCTGTTTATAGGTCTAACCTGAGGGTCCTAAAGGCCCCCATTTCCTACCATCTGATACAAAAGCAATCTCCTACAGTAATCTGCCTGAATAGAAACATTCCTTTGTGCCAGGCATGTTTTCCCAGGGGTCTTATTTTAAAATGCCAGTATCTCTAGAATAGGTGAGAAGTGGAAGCTGGTCCCCTTTATGTGTTTGGTGCTTGGCTCTACGGGCTCCCCCACTGCAGAGCTGCCCTTAGCTGCTGGGGCTGCCTGGTTACAGCCTCTCCTCATCCTCTTCAACCTGCGGCCAGTGACGGACAACCTGTATAAAAAGGTGTCTCCTGCCTCAGAGTAGAACCAATTCTTCAGTTGATTCATGCTTTGGACCTCTCCTCAGGTCATGTGAAGCTAGACTAGCAGAGGGCACAGCCTTCCTGCTTCCCTTTCTCCTTTCTCCTGAGAGTGTATCCTCAGTAAGTCACAGGTGCCCAAATCCCTCTCCAGCATTGCTTCTAGGGACCCCAGCCTAAGACTACCAACCAGAGGAATCAATTGTGACATTGTCTTCACAGAGACCAGGAGCTGTTTACTCTGCTAATAGCCGAGAGCCTGAGGGTCTTAGTGAAGTTAGATCTGCATTTGCGGGATGCTATTTACTGATTCTGTCACCCTAGATGTTATAGTTCAGCTCCATTATCTGTTAAATGAGGTCAAATATGGCTATTGTGAGGATCAAATTAGATGACATATGTAAAGTATCTAATCATTGCCTGACACACAGTAGGTGCTCTATGATTCTTAGCTTCATATTTCCATCACCTTGGATAGCAGAGAGCAAAGACAGCAACAGGAAATGTGGCTGGGTGGGGGGAGGGGATGGAAGAGCCTTGAATTTGAGCTACAGACACACAGGGAGGGTAGGACAGCCTGGCTGGCTGTTCGGAGGTCACAGAAAGGGGAGAAAAAGAGGCATGTAAAGACAAACTTCAGTCTCCACCACTTGTTCATTTCACCTCCATCTGGATCCACTTCTCCATGTTCTTGGCTAATCTATTTCCTTTTTCTAAATGGGCTCTAATAAATCCTTTCCCTGAGCTGGAAAAGACCCAGAGAGTCCAATGCTGAGTGAGCTGGGATTCTGAGGTGGTCAAAATGCTGAACGTATATTTAATGATACATTCGCCGAGACTGCATTTTCAATTGCGAGACATGGGGCAGGGTAAATGAGGAAGAGGCGTTTAACAGCTGTCTGTCTATCTGTCTGTTTCTCCCAAAAGACTGGAAGCGCCCTGTGGGCAAGCCTAAGTCTATCCCTTCTGTGTTTCCAGTGCCTGGGGAAGAGTGGGAGCTTCTGGGGTGCTTGTTATGGGCTAAATTGTACCATACACACACACCCCACCACCAAATCCATACGTTGAAGCCCTAATGCCCAGTATCTCAGGATGTGACTGTATTTGGAGACAGGCCCTAAGAGAGGTGATTAAGTTAAAATGAGGCCATTAGGTGGGCTCTAATCTGATCTGTCTAGTGGCCGTATAAGAGGAGGAAATTTGGACACACACAGAGACACCAGGACTGTGTGTGTACAAGGAAAAGGCCACAAGAGGCCACATCTGCAAGCCAAGGAGAGAGGCCTCAGGAAAACCCAGCCTGATGTCATCTTGACCTTGTACTTCTAGCCTCCTGAACAGTGAAATAACAAACTTTTTTTTAAAATTAAAGTATCAGTGATATACAATCTTATGAAGGTTTTGCATGAACAACATCATAGTTTCAACATTCACCCCTATTACCAAGACCCCTGCCCACTGCAGTCACTACCAGTGTAGTAAGATGCTGTAGAGTCATTACTTGTCTTCTCCGTGCCATACTGCCTTCGCCGTGCCCTACCGATATCGTGAGTGCTGATTATAGTGCCCCTCAGTCCCCTTCTCCCTCTCTCCCCACCCACCCTCCCCAAGCTCTCCCTCTGGTAACGCTACACCCTTCTTGGAGTCTGTGGGTCTGCTGCTGTGAAGTGACAAACTGCTGTTGCTTAAGTCAACCAGTCTGCAGTATTTGTTGTGGCAGCCCTAGCAACCTAATAGAATACTTACAGGAAAAGAGAGTTAAACATTTCTAAAATGGCTAAGTCATTCAAAGACTTCATGCCACAATTATCTCTGATCAGTGGCCTTTGTGTTTTCACTTGTCCCTCTACAGAGGGCAATGGCCAATAGGAAGAGACCTGTTCAGAACAGAGCACCTCACAGGCATTGTCACCCTTGCACAAATGCTGCGAGGCAGCTATTACCCTCCATCTCAGGTAAGGCCACTGAAGCTCAGGGAGAGTATGTAACATGCCTAAGGTGGTAAGAAGCAGAATCTGGATTTTAAAACAAAGCCAAGTCGTTCCTCAACAACCAGCAATAATGCTCATCAGGAGTCACTGCAAGACCAGATGGGCACCCTGGCAGTGGAGCCTGCCTGCCTCTGCACATCTCACTCTTTGGAGGTTTCATGAGCTCTGCCTCCAGTGCCTGGCAACGCAAGAGAACCAGAGCAGCCTCCCGAGGAACCATGGCAGCAGACACACCCTCACAGAGCAGCCTTCTCTGTGTCCTCTCTGACATTCCCTTGGTTATAAACATATGTCCAAAAAATCCTGTGCACAAATGGTCATAGCAGCATTATTCAAGGCAACCAAAAAGTGGAAACAACGCAAATGTCCATCAGTGGATGAATGGAAGTGTAATGTTGGTATATCCACAGTGAGATGTTACTCAGCAATGAAAAGGGATCAAGTATCAATGTATGCTACAACATGGCTGAAGCTTGAAACATGCAAAGTGAAAGAAGCCAGACATAGAAGATGACATATGTATGATTCTACATGGAAGTTGTGTTTTAGATTTTCCATGACATCCTATGCATATCCCAACTCAATTTTTCTCCCAGACAG